ACGACGACGACGACGACGACGACGACGACGACGAGAGAGAGAGAGAGAGAGAGAGAGAGAGAGAGAGTTTGGCCGTGGCCTGACCACTAGGCCTGATGGCCCCCAAATGAAGCCTGCTACAGTACCCTACAAAAAACCCCATCTCAGAGTTCTTCATGGTACTCAATATACTTACTGTGATGGCTGAGTAGGACTTGCCTAATTTGAATCTACAGTTCAAGGGAGTCTAGGTATTCCAAGGCTGATGCTTAGACCACAAATACATTCCTGTGTTGGTTTTTTACACTTGGATAATGTTATGTTTCAAAAGGAAGGAATTTGGGACAGTTAAACTGAAACAAACTTTATTTTAAAAAAATTGTGGGGTTTTATTTTTTAATTTGGATTTCTGTTTGGCAGGTCATAACGTATCTGCTTTCTTCTTGCTCCTTTCTGGAATAGGAATGCAGGTTATTCTTCCTACTGAGGGAAATACCTGAGTCAAAAGGAATTGCATACTTGAGTAGTAACTCGATTAATTTTGAATGTTGATTTAATAGCTGGATATTGTGCTTCATCAGTATCTATATTATCATTTTTTGTGATTCTTTGTAGGAAACCAGATATCGTCAACGTTACCTAGATTTGATCATGAATGAGAACGTGAGGCAGAAGTTTATTATGAGGAGTAAAATTATCACTTACTTACGAAACTTCCTGGATAACCTTGGATTTCTTGAGGTATGTATGGCCTGAGAAGATGATTGACGTGATGGTTGCATTACGTTATGACATGCTTCATAATTATTCAGATACTTAGTATTTTAATGGCCAAGGCTTTCAAAAGTGACACATGATTTTGGGTGCCCACCCAACCTGAGACATGTTTAAGGGGTCTAGTTTTCAGCTGAAGGATGCTCAGTACTTTCTGAAAATCAATCTCTCTTAAGGTGTGTCAAGTTGGGCCCCAAAATCATTAGTTGCTTTTGAAGACTGGCATATGTGTTCAAAGCACTGTACAGACATTAATTCTCACAACACTCCTCAGAGGTAGATGGGTAACTATTCTCTACGCTTTAGAGGGTGAAACTGAGAGAGAATGGTTAAATGACTCGCCCAAGGCCAGTATCTCCTGACTCCATTTCTGTCCTCGTTCCTCTAGGTCACACCATCTTACGTGGTATAAAAAGTATCCTGTTCATTACTGGAAAAGGCTTGATTTGCACTGATCTGAATAACTAAGCGAAAGACATTCACATGCTGAATTAATCTAAGCATGTTTCATTGGTGATTCATAGTCAGTTATATCTTCCATAAAGATACAAGTTATTCCTGGTGTTTAAAATTCTAAGGCAGGTAATACAGTACCATATACAGCAAGGATGCCCAAAGTGTGGCCTGAAGGCTGTGCATTGCCTGCAGAGTTCTAAAATGGAGCCTGCAGCTGCCCTCCAACTCACTATGTCTTGCGCATAGAAGAGAAGTCCATGGAGAGGAGTGATTCCCCAGCCAGATGCAAATGCCTTTCAAATGGTTCTGCTTTCTTTGGTGGTGAAGACAAAAAAAAAAAAAAAAAAGACCAATAAGCAATATCTAACCATACGTCAAGGAAGATTGAAGTGCAAGTTACTGTTATGATTGTGTAGGTATGTTTGGTTTCTAAAGTACTGATATGTAATTCATGTCCTTTACCAGGCAAAGCTCACATTGAAATCAATAAAGACTGCAAGGGCAGGCCTGGATGTAGTCTTCCCCTCTAAGCCCCGTGGGCACTCCCCTAGCTAGATCCCAAGCCACTGTCGTAAATGCTTCCAACTGGCCTAGGCCAGAAAGGTCCCTTTTTGCTTGAAAAATTTTGTTCTACCCTATTTTCAACAGAACCTGATGGCCACCTGTATGGCCACACTATCAAGTGGTGTAAAAACGAAACAGTCACTAAGGAATCCTTCCCCTTTTCCCTTACCGACACCAACCTTGAGTCTCTAAGGGAAAACTCCCGTGCAGGAATTGACATATTAGCAACAGCTGGCACCTGCAAACTGTCTTTTAAAGAAGGAACTTCAATGCAATGCTTTGTAATCAGTTACCTACTTTTTGGTATTCCTACCACTTATTCCAGTTGTCACCCTAAGTTTACCTTCAGTTGCAGCAGAGGGATCCCTACTCTACATGACTGCCTCATAGCGCATCATTACAATCCCCACTCCCCAGTTGCTCCCCCTCATATCTTCTCCAATTCCCATACAAATCTATCTGGCCGTGGCCTCAGAAAGATTCAAGTCTCAGACCAACAAATGTGGTATAGTGCACCCTACCGACGGGATTATCGTTTCCGCCGGTGGATTGTGCTAAATGCTACTATAGGGACCACCACTTTCTCATTTCCCATTTCCGCTTTCCAAATAACTACCCTATACCCCAATTGCATCCAAGGAGCGGCCATTCGGTTAGCCCAGCTTATGCAGTGGGAGAATTTTCGGAGGAAAAGAGGCTTGCTGGAAGGGGCCTCGCATGGTCTAACTGGAGCAGCCACTATCTGGACAATAGATAAGCACCAAGACCATGAACAAGGCCTGAGTAGTTTGAGAAGGGCATCAGGCCTCCTTACTGAGGCAGGATTAACCAGCACCCACTCAAATATAGAAACCCTCCATGCCCTGTCAGGACTGGGAACCACAACCCAAACCCTCTTAACAAAATTAATAAACATCCTCGTTTCAATAGGGAAAGACACAGGATGGGATTCAGCTTGTAGCCAGATGCAGGATTTCTTTAATGGTCTCTTAGCAGAAATGCGGAGCGATGTCCTCAGTCAGCAATGGCCCAAAGCCCTTAACACTACTGCAGGAGTGCCACCCGAGCTGTGGAAATGAAGGCAAACGTGGATGTTGTCAGAATGGGCCTGCGACTCCTCAAAATGCTCTTTCCAGGCCTCGGGGCCTGTCAATGGCACATGGGCCCCAGTGCACTTACTTTTGCCGGGACCCTGGGCGGGCTGCCTATGGGACTGGGTTATCGGCCGGCAGGTATGGGAAATCAAGCCACCCCACGAACCTAGCCATTTTATCACCACTCCCCACGATTTCGCTGCTCAACACGTCTGGGTGGGAATCGGAACCTTGTGGTCCTTATGGCCCTTGGAATTCCCACAGTTGTTTTGGGAAACTCACTTTTTATTTTTGTGAATAAAAAAGTCATGATTAGGACAAATAATTATTTTGGGGGAGGGTTGCTTTTTATTGCAAACTAGTGACAATATTGGTGAGAGTCTTTTTGTACAACTGATGTTACTGAACTTTTTCTCCCTTTACAGATTATGGTTTAGAAGTGTTTATCTATTTCTTGACTATAATAGGCTGAACTCATCCCTTACTCAAACTCCCATTAAAGCATTCATGTGGAAAAACGTAATGTGTTTCCAGTCTAAATGGTTGTCTGTCTCTAGCTCATCCTTCTGCATCTTATCTGCTTGGCATGTTGTAGGGGAATTGCTCTTTCATAGGTCTTTAAAGCGAGAAGGGACCATTATGGTCATTTAGTGCGACTCCCTGTATATATCACAGACCATAGAACATCATCCAGTATTTCCTGCATTAAGCCAGTAACTTCTGTTTGAGCTCCAGAATATCTTTTAGAAAGACATCCAAGCTCTTTCTTCTTTTAAAGGTGGAGACTCCCATGATGAACATGATACCAGGTGGTGCAGCAGCCAAACCTTTTATCACACATCACAATGACCTCAACATGGACTTGTACATGAGGATAGCTCCTGAACTATACCACAAGGTGCAGCAACTGTATAATATCAGTTTACATGCCTAACAATGATATGCAATCCTCTCACTTTCCCACAGAACAAGATTGTCCATATATTTTTGCATTATAATGTTGTCCATATAATACTATAAACAGGTTAAGCCCAAAAACTTGGACACTGTTATATGAATTACATAGCCTTCATTTTCTAGATATCAAGAGGTTCCCACAGGTAAGTAGATTACTAATGTTTTTAATATATATGTAAATGAATAAAAATTGTACTGCTGGCAATGACTAATTGTTTTGGAAATGTTCTGTGATGACTAAGTATATCCATTTGACTTAGGAATCAGTGTCATTCCTCTGTGAATAGGTAGGAGTTATTAAATCATATCTCTCACATTGGTGCTGCAGCATGATTTAAAGCTACCTAAATCTTCACGGATCTGCCTGTAAGATTTGCCGTTCATTTACGCTTAGGAAAAGCAAATACCTACCAATTGTAAAACATCTCTTTAAAAAAGTGGGTTTAGACTTTGTGTTTTATATACTGGTTCTCAGTCCCAAATACTAAGGACCCCCCTTCCATAAGGCCCCTCCCACAGCAAACCAGCATTGGAAAGCAACAGGCAGTCACTGGGAGTTGCATATACAGAGGGCTTGCAAGACTGGATTCTAATTTTAGGCTGGCTCTTATTATTTCAGTGAAGGACTGCCATACAGAATTGGCAGGAAAAACTGGCAAAGATCACATCCCCATATATACTGCTTCACCTAACATATGGTGAATAGTATGGCTAATCATCCTTTGTTAGACACTTGTAATGTAGAATTATTCCCCCCTCCCCACTCCCAAGAAGAAAGTCACTAAGGAATAATCTGGATCTTCTTCCCAGATGCTAGTAGTTGGAGGTCTGGAGAGGGTATATGAAGTTGGACGTCAGTTCAGAAATGAAGGAATTGATCAAACCCACAATCCAGAATTCACTACATGTGAGTTCTACATGGCTTATGCAGATTACAATGATCTCATGGACATCACTGAACAGCTGCTGTCAGGTATGTCTTTGGGTGATGATTGTATACATTCATTAATGAGTAACTTCAGTGGTTTGGGTTGGGTGAGAGTCACTCAAAGACCATAAAGGTGTGGAAAAAGGTACATAACTTGTATTTCCCAAATAAAAATGCAAGCAATTGACAAATATAAAGGGGAGGAGGGGGGATAATACATTCTTGCTTGGATAATATTGAATAATTAGATCCAGGGAACAAGATATGAGGGGACAGGAGAAAAATTTCCCTGACTTCCCTCTTGCAAATAAATTGCAGTAAATGATGATCAGGTAATGTCTGGTATCTCTTGATCAAAACAGACAATATGTTGCAAGCTGCTTGTGTAAAAGTCCAGGAATTCATCAGGTTAAGATGACTTCTCTGACACCTCACATTTTACTTACCCTAAGGCATGGTGAAGCATGTGACAGGTGGCTACAAGATCACTTACCATCCAGATGGCCCTGAGGGAAAGGCAGTAGAAATTGACTTCACTCCTCCTTTTAAACGAGTCAGAATGATGGAAGAATTGGAGAAAGTCACGGGAGAAAAAATGCCAGCACCAGAAAGTCTGGATACTGAGGGTACATTAAATCTGTCAGGGCTTGTCTCTGGGTTTTGAATGGTGTAATTAATTAAGTAGTAAGAATTTTCATTTTAAAGTCATTTGACATTTCAATGATCACTAAAGAAATTTTTGTCTCACAGGATTTGCAATTGCATGATATTCTCTCGCTTCTTGTAACAGTGTATTTCACACCCTGGTTAAGTTTCACCTCTATGGTGAGGAAAGAAGTCTGTGTGTGTCTCTACCGTAATACCAATATTTATCATAAAGTGTATGGTTATCCATTTAGAGTCACTTTCCCCCCACTTATTTACGCCTTTCTCTTGAATATTCCTTTGAGACAGAAATGTTCTATTCTCTGCTTTCAGCCCAAAGGTGATTTCTTTCTTTCTTTTTTTTTTTTAAGTTCAGGAAAAATTGAGTCCACTGTGTTTGAATGGTGGAAATGTGAGAAGACACTTTTGTATTGCAGTGAAAAATTACTGACTACAAAAATGCCAGGCCTGGCATATGAATAGGCCTCAGTGAAGGATGAGTTGCTATTCTGGTGTTAAAGAAAAGTGATTTAGTAATGTAAAAAGGTTTTTATATGGTTGCACAAACACACAAGTTTAATTTGCATGATTATATTAGCATGAATTACTTCCTACCCAGGTCCAGGGTGTAGCATCAGGAATACATACCAGTGTATGTTATGTGAAGTACCCTATATCTATGTGAGGACTTGGATTAGGGGGCTCTTTATTCCGGCCCTGTGGAAGGGGAGCAGCAAGGCAGGAATGAAGAAGTAGCTGGCTTCCTGCCAGGGGAGCCCAACTCCTGGGTAGGAGTGAGGTGATGTTCTTGGGCAGGGATTCCATACCCCAATAGAGGGGAAAGAAAGAGGAGCTGCCTCAGTGCATCTTATTCGACACATGCTTCTGTCTCTAAAGGGAATAGCAAGAATTGCTATTCCCTTTAGAGACAGAAGCATGTGTCCCGTGTCCCGTGAAACAAATTTTGAGACACTGGGGAAAACTGCTAGGAGTTCCCAGACCTCAGCCAGTGGAGGCTGTGTTAATAGTTTCTGCTGTTTGCTCACACTGCTTTCCTCGTTCTATTAGAATCATTTGGTGGATGGGTTTCTCTGTTCACAGCTAACTCTTAAAGCAAAACAAACAAACAAACAAAACGTGGTGTTTGGTGTGAAATAACATGAATAGAAACACAGGTGCAATGAGATTTAATGGGGGGGGGGAGAATAAAAGCTTATGCATATAAGAGGAGTGAGCCAAGGATGAAGGAAAAGATCAACAATGGGTGGAACACTGGACGGGGGGGGAGAGAGAGAAGAAATACAGGTGTGGCTGTTAGAGGAAAGGGTGGGCATAAGAGAATAATGGGAAAAAATGGGGAATGATGGGAGGTGGCAGAAATTCTGCAGTAGTGGGAAGTTTTGAACTTCAGGCAAAAGAAGGGGTGATTGGGAAGAGTATAAGGAACAAGAGAAAAGTGTCTTTGTAGGATACCTTACATAGGTACACTGGGAGAGAGGAATAGTCATGGCTTATACAGATGGTTCTTGTAAGTGGGGTGGACAGGAAGGTGGCTGACAGAAGAGCTCCTTTCTAGTTGGGGGGCTTGGGATTCTCAGTCATTGCTTCCTGTCCCTTTTAGCTTTTGTTCTCCCACATTCTGACCTAGCAGTGGTTTAAAAGGAAACAAGAATTGTACACAGCCCTTGATCTAAATGTCCATCGTTATGCAAGGAAAGCAACTGGCCATGTCTAGAGGATAGATATATTTCTCTGTTTGCAGCTGGCTTGTGTTATGAAATGCAGGCTAATGGACAGATTGAATACAAAGCTACAATTCTCTCAGGTGCCTCTCCTGACGTAATGCTAATGAAGCACAGCAGAACTCTGAGGATGAATTCAGCCATGTGTTTAGCGTCTATGCATGGGAGCTATGAGAACACATCAGTATGACTGAAATTACAGAGTTTTCAATGGAACGCAGAGCTATCACTGTACAATTAAGATTGCAAATGCAGTACAACCTGGTTTATATCCAAAAAAGTGCAAGGAAAACACATTTGGATAAATGGAGGTCAAGTAAATTAAGGGGGAGCAACTTAAGAAAGCAATTCATGCTGGGGAACATAATTGTGATTCAAATAAAAGGGAGTTGTGATTAAATGGAGGTTGGATAAACATGATTATTCTGTAAAGGTTTTCAAGAATGGTAGCAGGCGCGGTGATTTAAGATGAGGGAGCAGAAACACGAGTGTGTTCTGGAACTAGAGGATAATTGGAATTAACTCATTGTGCAAGGACAGCTCAATTTATCTACACTTGTGTTAACGCCTCTCCAGTTAGCCTAGCTCTAGTGAGAGTGGCCTCACTGTGAAATAACACATGAATTGCACAGTTGGTATTAGCAGCACAGAATAGCTGTTCCCCGCCCGCCCACCTCCCAGCATTACTTGCCCCAGCATCAGCAGCACTCAGACTTCAACCTACCCCCATTGATGGGCCAGCTAGAACAGGAGCGTAAGATTTTTTTTTGTAGGCAGGAGTCAGATTAGGGGCAACACTCACATTATAGCTCGAGCTAACACTGCAGGGAAGACCAAACCTGAAATTCAGTTGTCTCGCGGAACTAGTGATATGGTATAGGGTCATTCAGCTCAGTCACAGATTCAAATGGAGCCTGGAATCCAAGTGACAGAAGAGAGTTGCCTTTGTATCAGATGACAGTGGTGCAGTGGCCTATCTGAATAAATTGGAGTCTTTTTGGATAGGCTATGGTATTGCAGCAACTGCTATCTTAATTGGCACCTTTGCCCTTTCAGCTGAGATTCTCAACAAAGAGTGAATAGGAGTGGAGATTGCCCTACACAGTCTCCCCTGACCTCCATGCTGGAGCAGAGTTCCACTGGCGGGTTCAGGGGGAATTGGAGGAAGCTGTTGCCCATGATGTACTTGGTCTGTGGATAGATAGATAAATGTCTGTACATGACAGATCTGGCCTGAAAATCTGACACTTTTCACTAACTTTAAATTCCCTGACTCTTTCCTTTTCTAGCTCCTGCTCCTATCTCCTTTATGGAGACAATTACAAGCTTGGGCGGTTTCCAGAGCTTGTATTTTTCTGTTATGTCAAAATTTAAATTGTAAGCAGCAGTTGATATTGAATATTGAGAGGAAATGTACCTTTCTTTTGTTCCACTGCAAACAAAATTCATTCAGAACCGAGCTCCTTTATTGACACACACAGTTATAATTATTTTCATTTACAGAGGCCGAAAAGTTCCTTGACAAGCTATGTGCGAAGAAGGGAATCCAATGTAGTTCTCCTCGGACTGCAGCAAGACTTCTAGATAAGGTTTTCTTATTTTTTCCTGCTTATGTATAATTTTGCTACATTTTCCAACTTCTGGTTACATAATACTTAAAGAATCTTAATATGCTAGGCTATGTGTATTGGGATGACTTCAATTCATATTTCTGTATGGTTCCTTATATATAATACTGTATATATAAATTGAAGATCTACATATTATATATACATATATAAAATCTTGGTTGAGATTTTACTGAAACTTGATCAAAGATATTTTCATCATATGGTTCTTTTAGAAGATCTTTTAGAGGTTTTAGTTAGCTTGGAATGGATGTCAATAATTTCAGAATTATTCTGGTGTATTCAACTGTATGTTTGACAACATTCCAAGTAGTGTGTACTCTGTGGTTCTACCATAGTGCATATAATATACTAGTAACTAAGTAGAGTGATTAGAGCTGGGGGTTTTCAAATGTGGTTGTATGCTTAACTGCCTGAGATCCCTTTGAAAACTTAAAAATATTAGAATGGATTATAGATTTCCTTTTTCCCTTTGTTCCCACTATTGAGGAGAAATAGTGATATCTCTTCTGAAGCTTAGCTTCTCCCCAACTCCACTCACAGTGATCAAATTGTGACGTCTCTACTCCATTCTCATCCTCTGAAGATCTTATTGCCATCTTTGATGCAGTCAAGTGACCCTTATCTTTGAGTATCAGAGGGGTAGCTGTGTTAGTCTGAATCTGTAAAAAGCAACAGAGGGTCCTGTGGCACCTTTGAGACTAACAGAAGTATTGGGAGCATAAGCTTTCGTGGGTAAGAAC